TCCCTAAGGTTCCTAAGCAGGTTATTTTAAATTTTAATGGAAAGGGATGGAAACAGCCTTGGGGAGAAAGTTCCCGTTCTTATTCTGCATGGGAATATTTATCCTGACTGCTTCCCTTTCGGCTGAGGAGCTCATGGAGTAATGCCCTCTAGCTGCCTGGAGTGTGCTTTGTCTGCAGATCCCAAAGCAGCAGTCGCTTTGCTGTGAAGATTCCCAGAGGAAATCCACTTTACTCTTCTGTTGGCTGCAGAAGAGATGTGTTGGCCCTGTGCTGAACCAGAATGGGGAAGAGGATTGAGCTGTGCCTAGTGCTAATGGAGCTTGGATTTGGGGCTGCTGCTGTATTCAGTGCTGTCCCATCAGCTGCTTGTCACATTTAGTGCTGCTCACTGCTCCCCCCACACTGCTTTGTCCAGTGAATGGCTGAAACCTCATTATATCTGCAAGGGCTGCAGAAAGCAAAGGGAAGAGGAGGAAAAAAAGCCCAAGTTTTTGGAGATGGTGCACTTTGTGCCCTGACATCATGTGTGGACTTGCTGAGAAAGAGCAGGGCTCTGGGTGCCACTACTGGCTGCAGATAACACCAATGTGGAACTTTGGCAATGCCAGAAGGTAATGTTTTTGTTGCTTAAAGGTCTCCTAATTTGAGTACAGGCTGTAATGTGTTTGTTATCAAGGGATGGGACATGGATGTGAGGTGTTTTCCCCTCAGAACCTCAGTCCTCCTCATTTCCTTCTGACACCCTATTTACATCACTTGGGCTGAATCATCCATAGAGATAACAATCCACATTTTAGCTGTCAGTATGATTTATGTTATGTTTTCTTTGTGTAGGTCAGAAATCAGCAACTTCATAATTCTTTCAAGCCAATATTATCCTTTGCTGTAGTCTGTTATGCTCTATTTCATTCTCTATATGGTCAAGACTACACTTTTTCTGCAACATTTCAGTATGATTCTTGAAGTTTCCCTTCTCCCATTTGATACATATTTCTTCTTTTCTTCAGTCCAATCCTAGTGTCCTTGAACATGCCCTGGCTGATGGATACCATACCTCCAGCATGGAGAAAGCAGAGCAGTGCATATGGTGCCTGCAGGTCTGGAAGATGAGACCCCTCCAGGATGGCTCTTTCTCAGCCCAGTCAGAAGAGTATTTATGGATTTTCTTTGGATCAATTGCACTCAGCAAGTTTACAGGTGAATCCAAGCTGTGTGGTGCAGTTGACATGCCTGAGGGAGAGAATGCCATCCAGAGAGATATGGACAGTCTCAAGCAGTGAGCCCAGGTGAACCTCATGGGGTTCAATAAAGCTAAGTGCCAGGTATTGCACATGGGTTGTGGTAACCCTCACTATCAGTGCAAGCTGGAGGATGTAAGGATAGAGAACAGCCAAAAAGGACTTGAGGGTACTGGTGGATGGCAAGCTTTTCATGAGCCAGCAACGTGCCCTCACAGCCCAGAAAGCCAACCACGTCATGGGCACGAAAGAAGCGTGGTCTGCAGGGAGAGGGAGGTGATCCTGCCCCTCTGCTCTGTGCTGGTGATACTTCACCTGGAGTACTGCATCTGAATGTGGAATTCTCAGTGCAGGAGAGATGTAGACCTGTTAGAGAGTGTCTAGAGGAGGGCCACAAAAATTATCTGAAGGAGAGAACACTTTTCCTATGAGGACACGTTGAGGGAGCTGGGGCTGTTAAGCCCGGAGAAGGCTCTGGGGAGACCTGAGAGTGGCCTTTCAATATCTAAATGGGAGCTATAAGAAAAGACAGACTCTTTAGCAGGGTCTGTTTTGTTAGGACACAGGGAAATGGTTTCAAACTAAAAGAGGAGATATTTAGATTGAATATAAGGAAGAAGATTTTTACAATATGGGTGATGAGGCACTGGCACAGGCTGCCCAAAGAGATGCTGGTTGCCCCTTGAAGATGTTCAAGGTCAGGCTGGAGGAGCTCTCAGCATCTGATGTAGCTGTAGGTGTCCCTGCTCGTTGCAGAGGAGTTGAATTGATGACCTTTAAGGGTCTCTTCTGACTCAAATGATTCCACAATCTTCACAGCACACTGCTGCTTTCGGGATATGTAGGCAAAATGCTACCTATTACTACCTATTGCTACCTGGAACATATTTGCTTATGGGGAAATCTGTTTATTTTCTTTTGAACCCACTTAAACTTTTATTTTCTTCTAAGATATTTCAAACTAGCAAAAGAAATCACTGAGAGAACAGCCTCACAGATTGGGACTTTAGGTCCTTCTGACAATGAGGTCATAAATGACCATGTGAATGTACAGATTGGATTTAATGGATGTCCCTGTGGTGTCCTCTCCTGGACTGCCCTGAAACAGAACATCAGATGCCCAGTAAGGAGAGAAAAGGCACATGTATTCACATCTCTTTGCTTGTTCCCGTGGAACACAATGTTAGATAAAGGCAATGGTGACAGTTCCCAAAGCCCTCTGCCTCTTGTGTGTGAGATAGAAAATGCTTTTTTACTTTTCCCAGAGTGCTTCCCACAAAGCAATGAGCACTATGTCAGCCTCCTTCTGTATTGTAGGAGGGGTCGCTGGTTGTTTTCTTCACTCCAAATACCTGTCAGGAGTATGTAGAGGGACAGGGCAGTTGTGTTACTTAGAAGTTGGACTTGATAATCCTCATCGGTCCCTTCCAACAGTGGATATTCTGCAGTTCTGAAATGGTAGATGTGTTTGAGATACTAAAATATTTCTACCCAAGAACAAAGTGATATGCTTCAATAGGTGGATCACCCTTCTGAAGCTAAAAACATGTTTTCTAAGGACTCAGACTTCTGGGATTAGTGTTCACAGGACACAGAGCAAGATGGAAAAGGGGTGGTGCATGAGAAAGGAAAATCCCTTTTCAGAGCTCTGAGGACTGAGTTCACTGAGTCACACAGTGTGCAGTTCCTGTCCTGATGGCAGCAGTATGTCAGCGAGCTGTGGGTCTGTGTTGATGTTTCCCTGAGGTCAGGGAGGCAGGCTGCTGTGGGACTGTCCTAAGGTATAGTAGCTGAGACAAATCACACCACAGTTGATGAGAACTGGCACTTGTGAAGAATCTGAAATGTCTCA